CCTCCGAATTGTACAGTGTGAGAGATACAGATGCTCCAAGTAGCAGCGGTACTAATAAATTGTAGTAATAAGAAAGAAACGTGTAGAGACAAATCCAAAACACATGAATCGAAACAAATCGCTCAACTCCAGGTTTTCCCAAGGAAAGTGTATATAAAGAAGATGAAAAAAGATGAAAAAGATATCCCTTGCGCGTTGCAGGCAAGGAAGAAAAAGAAGGACGAATACAACGGGGAAATCAAGACAAAAAAAAAAGGAACGACTCAGATGGAGAACAGTACAATCTCGCCGCGGTCGTTGCGACGAAGACGAATGTCACGCCAGAGCTCCTTCTCTTCGACCTGCTTGGCCAAGTTGGAACCAGCTGCCTGGCGCTCGCGGTGGAAGCGCTTGAGAGTCTTGTTCATGCTGCATCCTCGCTCGCTCTCGGGGCCCTTGTTGACAAAGTCGAAGAAGACGTCGGCACGGGGTTTGAAGACGACCATCTGGCCCTCCTCGCCAGTCTTGCCATCCTTGACGTCCTTGGACTGGGGGCGGTACTCGATGAGCTTGGGGCTCTTATCGCGGCGATGATGCGACGAGTGCTTCTTGGACTTGTGCTTCTTGGACGAAGACTTGGACTTTCCGGCGGCCGACATCATGCCAAATATGCTGCTGCTGACTTGGCCATTCTTGTGGTGCTTCGAATGCTTGGTCTTCTTGAGCGGGCTGGCAGGGCAAGGTTCGGCCACGTCGCCGCCAGAGTAGTCGGGGGAAGGAGGCAGTATCGGACGCATGAGGCCCTTCAATCCGCCGGTCAGGCCTGAGTGGAGGACGGGAGGCGCATCCGTCATGATCTGATCACGGGGGATCTCGAGATGAGGGTGGGGGCGCTTCCTCTTCTTGTCCGTCTTGATGTCGCCCTCCTTGGCCCGGCGGCGGTCATTCTTGGCCGCGGCGGGGGTCTCGTAGGGGCCGAGGGCATCCTCACGGTCGGCCAGGCTGGCGGGATCGAGGTACTCCTCGGGGTCGTATTCGTAGGGGACCAGCGACCTGCTGCCATCGTCGTGCTCATCGCCAGGTAGACCCAGGGTAGAGGCGTTGGGGGTCTGGCCGGTGGCGACGAGGAAGTCAAAGACGTTGACACCGTCGTCGTCGCCGCCGGGGGGCGTCGGGGCCTCCGGCAGGGGGTTGGCAGGAGAGCGCTCGTCATCGGTGGGGCCCTGGTAGTCCTTCCAGGTCTCATCGGCGTCCTCGACGTAGGCGTGCGGCGCCATGTTGGAGCCTCTCTTGCTGTGTTCGGTGGGTTTGGTGGCGTCGTCGGGGTTATCGTGTGTCTTGAGCCTCTTGTTCTTATCCTTGTATAGGGAGCCTTGATACTTTTGCTCTTCGGTCATGCAACTCTGTACAGAGGGCGGGGTGAGCAGAGGTCAGCGGGGAGGGAAAGACAGGTCAAGAAGATGTGGAGAGTGAGGGTCAGAGTGGGAACGCACGGTATGAGATCGGTATTGAGTTCCGGGAAAGTATACCATGCAGTCGATGCAGGTAAACGTGGCGCCGTGACAGCGGTTGCGGTGGGGGTCGAGCTTCTTTTTGGTGAGGACGTCGCCGCAGGACTGTAGAGAGTTTGCTGTATTAGGAATTGCAGTCGGATGAGGTCGGATAGTGTTGGATGATGGAGCGTGTATGGTCTGGTTCAGGATTGAGGGTGTAGAGGTTGAGAGAAAGAGATAGTGGGCAGGGGGTGTGGGTGGAGGGGGGATGTGGTAATAATGTAGTCGAACAGAGAAGAGGAGCTGAGAGGTATGTGGTGGAGTGATGGAATGTATATCGATATGTATCTTGATCAGGGGCAGAGTAGCAGAGACAGCGGGAGTGGGACCAAGCGATCAGCGGACCAGGAGGGATCATGTCTGTTATTAGATGCAGTGGGTATGGTGGTGGTGGTGCGTGATGTCAGGCGGGTAGAGTGGGAGGGATGGATGATGGGAGCTGATGGAGGGGGAAGATGGAGGGAGTAGTACTACTACGAGTACTTGAGGCTATTACCAGCCTGTACCGTACCAGGGAGGTCCGGTACATGTAATCGTAGCTGTACGAATAGTAAGTACCGGTAAGGAGCAAGCGATGATAGCAGGTACCACCACTTGGGGGTATAACCGTATCATTGGGCTTAATGACAAGGGTGCTCCGTCATGGATGGTATGGGGTGTAGTGGTGTGAGGGGGGCAAGGGTTTAGTAGCACCAGGATTCGCGACAGTGAGGCCGGGGGGGGGGCTCAGACGCCGTGGGGCGTGGGTTGGTGGAGGTGGGAATGAATAGAGAATGGATGTGGATATGCGAGGGATCGGATAGAGACTGGGAGGGATGGAGACAGAAGGAGAGATGCTGCTGCTTGCTTGCTTGCTTGCTGCTATGCTATGCCATGCCGTGTGTGTGTGCTCGGCGCAGCAGCACTAGCAGGAAGCATCAGCCAAGGGAAACGTACCTCGCAAGAAAAGGAGACCATGATTGTGATGCTGGAAATTTTTTTTCGTCTTGTCCTGATGATTGGGCGTATGCTTGGGCTGTTATAAGGTGGCGGCGGTATTTAACGGAGCCCTTTTAAGTGTCTGCTGCTTTGCAGATGTGCTCGATTGTGAGTGGACGACGTTGGGCTGGCGGCAAAGCAGATGCTTATTCGCGAGGCGACGGAGAGGAAGAAAAAAAAAATCGAAGCTTGCAATAGGGGCGGGAGGAGCCACCTTATTCCGGGGTGAAGGCGCAACTTGGTGCCTCTGAGACGGCGACGATGGAACGCGTCGAAACGAAGGGGGGGGGGGGGGGGGGGGGGCGCAACAGATAAGTGAGGGGCAGACAGACGACGACCAGACAAACCGAACTGATAGATGGTCACGTCTTGGGAAATTCTGGTCACTGGTCTTGGCGCTATTATCAGGCGAGGAGGAGAGGATGGTGAGCACAGAAGAAGGGAAACAAAGGCAGCGAGAAATGTTGAAGGGAAAGGGTGGGAGAGAATTGTGGGAAAAAAATTTAGAAAGAAAAATGATGAAAGGGAGGGGCCGACGGATGGACGGCGCGTGCTAAAGAAGGTAGGTAGGTGAACGGTGGGGGGGGGGGGGGAGAAGGGAGGGAGAGAACGGAAGAGGGTCTGGGCGCCAGCAGAGGAGCAGATCGCCACTGTAATACGGAAGGCGAGGGTCAATGCTACCAGTAGGGGATGTGCTGTGGCAGATTTTGTTGTTGTCGTGTATGTAGTGACCCTATACAAGTAATATATTATTACTCGATAGAGAGAGTAGGCAGATGCCCGAGATGGTGAGGACTCGGAAGTGGTGGCTTTGTTTACTCTTGGTCATAAGAATCGGCGTCCGTGTTACTCGCATGGCACTGCCCTCTCGGTAGCACGCATAGAAGGAGAGAACAGAATGAATTACGTCGTTGCCATCGAATGGGTGGTGTGGTGGCCATCGTCGTGGTTGGTTGATCCTGATGCCGCCGTGATGCTGGCTGGCTGGTCGTGCCTGACGACGACAGGGCTTACGACGTACCTGGGGCTGACTGTACGGTGTACATGTATTACAACGTACGGGAGGATCCAGATCATAGGATAATCGGGCGCAGAAAAAAAAACGAAAAAAATCAAATAAGGATAAATGTGTGTGTATGTCCATGTGTGTGTATGTCCATGTGTGTGTGCGTGCGTGCGCGCCCGTAAGGAGCAAGCAGGGCCGTGGTCTGCTGTCGCTGCTGTTATTATTATCAACAACGACTATTCTCATGCGTTGCACGTTCCACCAAGGTTGGTGGTGGATGGGTCATGTTTGTTGGCCGATTGATCTGGACCATGTGTAGACGGGTGAAACAACCTTCTTCTCTGCTCCGATTCCCTGCCCTATAACACTACTAGCGGTTGGCTGGTGCTGAGGTTCCAAGACTTGCCAGTATCGCCAACCACGCGAGCGATACATGTACGAGTACAGATTATAGATGACTCGTATAGCAGGAACAAATGAATAGCCCTATCGTGCACGATGCTGGAAAGAGCAACTTACACGTTGGGTAGCACCTGCCAGCTGGTACTTGTACATGCGACGTAGTCAGGTCCCAAAAGGCTATTCCTTCCCTGTATCGCCGATACATTGCTCGTACAGCTAGTACGTCGTAACGAGTACGGGTACGCTGCAACTACTCTACGCCTCTCTATCTGTATAGGTGATGTATGTATCATCACCACTACTGGTAGAAGTACATGTACTACTGACTGTACGGAGTACGTAGTCTGTACTAGCACTCGTAGAAGAATGTGTCTAATGCGCCAAGGTAACTGCCAGCCACGTCCCAACCTGGTAAGTCTCCATTCCCTCGCTCCTTCCCTGTCTAGTGTCTACACACCACCACCACACATCATACACCACCGTAAACAGACACACACACACACACACACACACGCAAGCACGTACACACCCTCCCCCGCCGCCCAAAACGTCTCCTGTGTGGGCAACGAGGTCGCGCCAAGAAGCTCCTTGCCCGCCCAAACGACGCGTCATGATTGGCCTCGGGCCCATTTGTCGACCTGCGTCGGACTCATCATCTTGGTCGGGTCACATGAGGCATAGATCCAGCCCCTAGCAGGATCGCCTCAGCATTACTACTGCTGGTATTGCTGCTAGTACCGCTATCTGCAATAGCAATAATGATATCCGTAACGTATGATACTCCGTAGTAATAATAGTATTACCTTACCTGTACTATCCATGCTCTTATCCGAACAATTATTATCACGCGTTTTGAGCTTATATAATATCTGTCGTACATGGCATCGTTTCTGTACCCACCTATATGTACGGAGTAGTACTGTGCAACCTGTACCTGTAGAGCATCCTTTACCTCTCCACTCCGACCTGCCAACTGCTCTCTTCGCCCCCTTGAAACCCGCATGCGACAGGTCTCGTCCCCCCCCCCCCCCCCCCCCCCCCCCCCCCCCCCCCCCCC